ATTTTTTATGCTATACGTCAAGGTCCTCCTTGTATATTACAAACAACACATTTGATGCCGCGCTAAACTGGCCGTGGGACTCAAATTCCTGTGACACTGTTGCACTGAGGTCGACAGGAGATCGACCTTTGACGCAACGGAATGCGTTTCAAAGACTTTTAAAGCACCACTTGTGTGAATATGAATTTAACAAACACAAAATGCAATATGAATTTTTAATCCCTACTTCTTCTTCTTCTGGGGCGCCCTATCCTATCGGATGTCGGCGACCACCGCACGGAACTCTTCTCTATTCTGCGCCAATCTACAAAGACTGACGGCGTCCTTGACGTCTGTCTATTTTTTCAAATTGTCACTCCATGTTATTCGTCTTCGTCCTCTTCCCCGTTTTCTTTCTATTTTTCCTTCAATTATATTTTTCAATCCCTGCTTACTTCTATCAAAAACATAAGAAACTTTGAATTATGCCTTACCTAGGTTGTCGATAGTCCTTACACAATGTTCGAAGTACCAAGGTAGTATTTTTCGTTGGCGGCCCAGCGCAGACCACAGAATACTTATACTCTGTCGGAGACTAATAATTAATTTTAATTTTTTTGCATTGAGTCAAGACAATGACTATTAAAATAACTTTTAACTCAACCATAATATTGACGCGATGGGGCTGAATGTGAAAAAAAATTAGTCGATGTTTTATTTTTCTGAGGCTATTTGAAACATATTTGTTATTTTTTTGTATGTGAGTGGCAAACGAGCTTTTAGTAAAATGGGCCCCGGCTACCTCACTCAGTCAGTGGAAAGACAGAATTGTAACACTTCTACTTCACGCCGGACTTCTGAGGCCGTGGTACTAACCCGAATGGCCCCGCCCATTCTGAGTGATTATTTTTGAGTTGAACTTGTCTGCTTACAAAAAATTAATAAATAAATAAATTTGTAGCATTGAAAAGAGGAAAAATGTTCTTAAACTCTACACGATATCATTAATTTTATATGAAATCAATGTTTTCAGATTTTGCTAGATTTGCAAAAGTAAAAGTAAAAAACCAATTAAAGTAAAAAAATATATTTTTAATAATTAATACCATTGCCCTATCATACTTATGATTATTTATAGATACACCGCAAATGTTATTATGCCTCATAATTTATTTCTAGAGAATTTATAGGGTAAAAAAAATGTTTAGAGTGGACCGCCCATATCACTTAGAGGTATGGAGAATAGATTACGGTCGATTCTCAAACCTTACAAATCTTTGTATTATTTAAAGGAGAAATATTCAAACGATTTTATTTGTGTTATCATTATAATTATGTTCATTAATTACTTGAAAATATTTATAAAGAAACATTTTAAAATACGCAAAACAGGTTATTACATTGTCGCGTTTATAACGGCTCCGCAGATTTTATGCAATCTTCCACGCGAATATCATGGAACACTAAAACAATTACGTGCGATGAGGAAATTATATTACCATCCTCAATTATTCAGAGTTAGAGCACGGGTATGGTAATAAATTTATGTAATTTGATGGTGACAGTATCAAGTCAGGCATCGCTCATTGCTCTAATGGGGCCACGCCTTTGGCGATTTTTGAAAACCACGTGAATAGCCAAAAGGATGTAAAGACACGGATTAACATGTGTAATGTATGGTTTTATTCTGTTTATGTTTTTCTTTATTTTTAGCAAGAACATCTAAATTCTAAATGTAAATCTTTTTGAATAAAAATGTATGTGCAACATGTATTTTCTTGAAAAATATCTAAGTTTTTTATATATCTAGGTCTTTTATAATAATGTTAGGATATTTAAATGTGGGAAAATAACTATTAGCTTAGGTTAACTTTGGCTTTGACTGGAAATATAATTTAAGATATACTTATACGTGTGTCAGTAAACCCAAAATATTCTGCTTTCTCCATAGGATCATGACTTGATAATTAGACACTGCCAAATTCCCAAGCTGGTAATCGCTGCACATTTAAAACTGTGGAAAGGCTCCAGTAGTTTAAAATAAACTACTGCGTATTTTTCTGATACACACAAGAATCCCTCTGAAGGATACCTTTTAGTCATTGTCTTCTGGGCCCCTATTGTGGAAAAATATCAAGTTATCTATCTCACAGAGTGCTAATTGGCATTGTTTGATGGTGTTATACCATGGCGTGTCTTCGTGTTTACTTCGTTGTTGTAAACAACAATGCAAGCAAAGACAAAATAGGAGCCTTTTCTCGGTGCGAATTAGCTATAGTAAACAAAAGACTTGTTATGTCTCACGTTTCTTTTATCCATACCTAAAGCACTAATGGATGAAACATAAAATAAAATGAAAAGGGATAAATTGCACGATGGAAAATTACAAAGGGTGGAAAATGTTCAATTACAGTTTATGGAAGCGTCTATTTCTGTCCCATAGAGAGTGACTCTTACTTACTTTACTGCCATTTAGTTAAAAATAGCATAACAATGATGACAAACCTACACTAAATACTTAAAACATTTTATAGACACCGTGTTACTTTCTACACATCAATGTAAAATGATTACGGGATACTTATACCTTCTTTTTTTAATTGTGAAAAGATGTCAACCCAGCAATTCACCCGGTGTTAATTGAATACCACCGCCCATTATTACCCACGACACCCGAAGGCTGCTGATTTGCTTTTTGTTTTTTTTTTTTTGCTTTTTGTTTTTTTTTAAAACATTGCCATTACTTTAGGATAATATTATCCTGTGTTGTCATGACGTTTTACAAACATAAACTTCACGCAGACAAACACCCGGACGCGAAACAAGTATCTGTGGGTCACACAAATAGTTGTCGCCTGTGGGATTCGAACCCACGACCCTCGACGCCGAAGCCAATACTTTGGCAACTGCGCCCCGGAGTCATCATTATAATAAATTATTATTATAAATGAATAGCTAATACCTTGGCAACTGAGTCATGAAACAACAAACAAACGTTCATTGACAACTTTGAAAATAGTGGGCCTCGGCTACGTCACCAGGCGAAACGCGAAAGCATATTTCCACTTCACGCCATTCTTCCGTGGGGCCGTGGTTCTTCTCCAATTGCGCTTGCCCATTCGTGCATCAGCAGAAGAATACAGTACTAAGTAAGTAGGGGTAAAGATTGAGATAGTGATTTTTGAAAGATATGATTTGAAGACATGAAATGTTAATTAATTACTTCTAGAAACATGCAATGGCTATCATCAACATTTTTATTAATTTGACTAGTACTAATAAATTTATCACTAAAACGAGGTTACAACACTTCCGTACCATATATACGAAAGCCAAATACATTTTTAATCCTAGCCAGATTTCTCCATTTGAAAATGATGATATGTGTTATGGTTTTCACTTAATTATGTAAGATAAGAAAGTAAGAAAGGAAATTTTGAAACAAATGAAGGATATCATAAGTGTTTCTTATTGTCATCAAGTCCTCGACTTTTTTTTTAATATCTACAATACCAATGTGATCTCTCCTTTTACGTTTTCTCGATCATTACGAATGTTAAAACTGAATCATTAAACTTTTGCATATTTGCAAATTGCTAAATAAAAATGAAGATATCGAAGACGTTCAGTTATTCTTTGAAAGTGATTAATGAGATTATTTACAAAAAGATCTATAAGTACAACGCTTTTGTGATTTATTTATTTTTAAATTTCCGAGGGCGTATTCATAAACTGTTTCTTCAGTTCTTGATTAAATTTAAATACGTAGATTAATAATTATTAAATATTACATAGCAGTCCTATAGCTAGCTTTATATATTTGATTTCTTACGAAGCAGACAGGAATTAAACCGAGGCATATACGATATACGTGCAAGTCAGTCGTCGTAAACTGTTCTTAATTATGATCGAGCGAGTTGGAAGCTCGAAAAAATAATAGCAAATATCGGTATAAGGCCACATACCAACCGTTTGTCAAATGATAAAGTGACAATACCATTGTTTTGAGTAATTGTCGTGAACGTTGAAACTTTAATTTCAGCTATTAAGCTATCTTATTACATTTTGCACTACGCAATCACATATTATATTACATTGGAAATCTTCTCCTTTTTATGCAATTCAGATAACCTAGTTTATATTATTTTTTTATTGACGACTACAATAAACCAGCATCTAGAAATCCAGAAACAATCGTAAAGCATCATTTCATCTTTGACAAGGAACAAAATTTTACAGACTAGCAAAAATGATAAATTATTTTTAATGTTCAAAATTGGTCGTTCTAGGCCGATTTAGAACTTTAATTATGTAATAAAAGTGTTAACTATACAAAATATGTAGAAACAGCCACTATTTTATATTTAAAATAGTAAAGATTAATAATACATTTAACAGGATATTAAAAATTAAGGCAAAAAAATAGTTTTCAAGTTTTTATAAATGATAAATATAGTAACTCCAACAATAATTATAAGTCTAAAATTTATAAGTGCTATTTTATGCTTTCAAGTTAATTTCCTAATTTTTAATAAAGTAATTTTGTAATAAATTTCACATAAGATAAAAAGTGCAGCAAACTTTGTGAGTAGGTTGATATCAGACAGTAAAGGACGTAGACGGTTCGCAAGTACGCCGTTAACTGGATACGCGACACGCCTACGCCGTAGAAGAAAAAAGTATTACGTGACTATTCTGTAAAACTATTCTAAGATACCGGATATTCGACAACTTAATGATAAACTTTTAGAATTACACATAACAATAGATGTTTTTACCTTTAAACATCCAGTTATATTATACTATATAGTTAGTGGTGGATCGTCAAAGTTGTAACAATATTATTAATAATAACTAACTATTTATATATATTTATATATATATATATGTATATATATATGTATATGTATATATATATATATGTGTGTGTGTATATATAGTTAGCAAGACGCGTTAACTACGTGGTGTTAACCTGTGTTTAATATTTCATCCACATTGTTACAGGCGCTGATGTTATACCAATGATGTGGTTATTCAGAGCGAGGACAGTCCAGCGGAACCAAGCCCAAGAAGCCCCAGCCTCTCAGGAAGGTTCATTGGAGTTGGCCTCCCAGAGTACCATTTCTGTAGAACACGAACAACCTTCAGAACAAGCTGTCACTCAAAATACAGATCAAGCGCCAAGAGAGGGATTCTTTGTAAGATATATTTATACTTAAGTTGAATTCCGAATAAAATTTTGTTTCTCAACCCTTGATACAACAGGTTTTAAGCTTAGAAAACCTATGCCATCTAAATTATTAACCCAAATTGCACTCACACCATCTCCACATATTAATTGATAATTCTTCACTTATTTCCTTCTTAATATGTATATAATAATCCACTTTTTGTCTTTTTTTTAAGGTCTATTTAAGTTTTAATCTTTGATCGTTTTGCATATTTTTTCATCATCATATTTACGCAAGTGTGTAACAATAGTGTTAATATAGTAATGACATCATTAAAAGAATGCAAACTCGAAATCATCCTATATGGACCTGACGAAAAGTTATACATGTCACAGTTGAAATACTGACAATTTAGCTTTAACCAAATCAAAAGTATATGAATCTAAGGTTTATGAATAAGATAATCTACTTTGTATAAAAATCAATCAAATAGTACCTATAATTTTAATATGAAATATGTTATTTATGATGTTCAATTAGTTAATTTCTCTCAGAAAGACGCTACTTCATAAAATAAATCCTTAAGGTTTCCATTCCATTTAAAAGAGAAATCATACAAATTTCTCTAAATACAACCAGATTGTATGTAGTATTAATTTTAGAAATATTTCATCATGGGCTTATATAAAGCTCATTTCCTTAGCTCAATGTGCTCACATAAATATTAAAACTCGACGTTATTGAGTAGGGTTATGTTCATTTTTAAGTAATAGGACGAGGGACGTATTAAAGTTTGATAAAGTGACTGAAAAAAAGGTTATAAAAGTTGTCGTTTGAAAATATCATCATATCAACAGCTTATTAACGGAGGGTAGCTTACAAGAAACATTTAATTAATTATTCGCTAAAGTTTCGCGGTTCACGTACCTAAAACATGACTATTTCATTGTAATTGCTAGTTATTTATTTACTTTGTAAACATTTTCTCGGTTTATTTATACACCGATTTATGACGTATATATTTTATTTATATTTCATATAAAATATAAATCTACTATATTTACATTTACAAATCTACTTCTCGTAGGCTAACGCCCGATTTCTGAAACACTAAACGATGATTTGAATGATTTGAATTGATCATTCTGATCATTTAGAAAATCATTCTGATCAATTCAGAGAGTTTAACCATCCTTTTGGCATCTTAAATAACGTATGAAAAACTATTATACTATACTAGACAGCTGATTAGTTGACTTGTACGATGATCAGTGTTTCAGAATCTGTGTGTTAATGTACTGCGGTATGACCAATAGAAACTTTTTGTTTTAACACCAAAAAAAAGGATAAAAAAATCACTTTTATACCGTTCCCTACGTGATCTTTATACATATAAATGACTTAATAAATATAGTATTCACGAATTTTGTTTAAAGGATTTAAACCATGCCAATATTTGAAATAACTAGTAGTTATTAATATTTTAAAATATAAACAGTGTTATTGAAATTAAAATAAAAAGCAAAGGCAATAAATAAACTATCGGCACATTTTAGAAATTGGTTTAATTAAATGGCCGACAAAGTCAAATACGTACAATAATATCAGTAGATTAATTAGTTTTTGTCGAGATGACTACGATTGCTTTGCTCTTATTCCCGGAAGCCAACTAAAAGTTAATTAAAGATCACAAGTTGTGACACGAGACCAGTGTAGTGCTTATTTGGCTAGTGTATTTGAAGTTTATTCGTAAATTTAACTACAAAAATCAACAGTTATGCTCAATAAAAATTAACACATTGTAAATACATTGAAAACAGTATTGATATACGAAAGAAAAGCGCAATTCTACACTAAAATTATTATAAGAATCACTATATTGCTGAAAACTGAATTAAAATCTGTTGCGTAGTTTACATTATTATCATGGCCGGCAATTGGCCGGCAATAAGAACTTTTTAAAATTTACCTATAGTTCCAAGTTATTTAATTAAACCGTTTTCAATTACATTTAATTTCACACACAAACTTTATTGGCACAGCGAATAAGTTTTTTTCTTTTGTTGAGCTAAATGTTTTATTTTTTACGTGCATACATACTTAAGTACACACATAATTTTTTTTAATTATCAATTATTATAGTTCGGGAGCTGTCACTGTCAGTACATTAAAAAATAGCAATGGGAACACTTATTACCAATGAATCGATTTCTAAAAAACAATATCTCATTGATGGTTAAACATGTTAATCATAATCTAGTGTAATGCTGTTTTTGTAATTCTTCCAGATTTATGATATATTCTGCTAATTATTCATATTTTGAAATAGAAGATTAAATAGAAAAATGTAATTATTTTTTAAACCATATCTCAACTTATTACGATTTGGCAAAAGATTTTGGCCCGTTTCCTATGTAAATATTATAATCAATTAAAAAAAATTGACATTTCAAAATTTTGCATTTAGACCCTAATTCCAATAACAGTATGTTTCAATCAACACACATTACACATTTTCTAGAAGATGTCCGAGATGCATCTGCGTAAACAGATCATTTACCTCAATCATCAAGAAAAAAAAAACAAATTATTAAAACGCCAAGTTTTAATAATTTGTTTTTTTTTCTTGATGAGAACCTTATAAAGGACCCAAAGATATTCCTTCCTCCGTAGAATATCGATAATTTCATTTGATTACCGTTTCGAGATTAACTGAAATTTTTGTACATAGTTCACTTTAGATGAGAGCTTAACTATGAAGCCATAGGACACTGAAGGGACATCATGGATTAGAACTTTACTCTTGTTTAGATAACTTTAAATTATTTACCTTTATAATAACAACTATGATGCAATGTTAGCCAACTGATTAAAATAAAATCTTGTTTATCGCGTTTGTCATGTTTTGTTCGGTATATCTTTAATTTTATGTACATAATTGATTACTATGCATTATTAACGCTCAACGAGCATGAAATAGAACAACAAAATTTTGCTTAACATCGTCATGCGTTACGCATGAATTAGACGCGACGTCATGTTCGCTCATCTTTCTCCTTTACATAGAGTTAAATCAAATATGCATTTCTTTCTCACCTCAGTGCATTTTGCGGCTATAAAATTTTCCATTCATTTAACATGAGAATTTGCCATTCCTTGTATTGACTTCGTAAACATTACCCTTGGCCTCCCCTAGCATATGCTAAACACCTACGATAAATTGACGTTATGGACTTTTCCCTACTATTTTAGAATATATTCGTAGGAAAGTTACGTAGATAAAATGAAATCAACTTATGGAATATTTTTTCTGATTGAATAGAAATCACTCGTATACATATCAGTTTGTAACGTTGTTCTGAGTCAAGGTCAACAAAACTTCTATGGCAAATAAAAATTAACCCAAAAAGAGATTGATTTTAATGAAATTTATAAAATTTATATTAAATAAATTAACATTCAGTTCATATATTATGTATATACTCGTATACACATTATAACTAATCCATCAAAAACCTGTTAACGGCTAACGTTTAACCGTTTGATTATCAGAACTAAACTACTTATCACCTTTTATGTTGGTCGATATTGATCTTTTCATTTAGATTAAAACGCCATTTTTATATGTTGGGCTATCTCTTTTACCGCGTACGTTTGTATAAATTAGAACATTGTAATCAGTGCAATGCATTAACAGCACCTTAAACCATTTACACCGATGAAAAAGAAAATTCTGTGCGAATAAATTACTCAAACCGATTTGTATATTGTGCCACATGTAGTAAAGTATGCCTGAAGTAGTAAGCAAATAAGGAGTTACAAAACTAAATATTTGTCGAGAGTAAATATGTAAATAAATATAAATGAAACTATATGCAACCTTTAGATGTGGATGCAAAATTGCTCTTAAAGTAATATATATAAAATATATGTATGTATGTAAAATTCTGTTTCACAGGGGTTAACTTAGTCTGAACACGGTTTTCTCACAGGGCTGGTTTTGGACTCACATCGGAAGACGTCGTGGTCAACGTGACAAGGCGCCGACAGATCCTGCTGGAGAGCTCCAAGTGATGCTACCCAACCAACCATCGGAGCTCTCCAATTCCGGCGAAGTTTGCCTGATCTCTGAAAGCCCTTATAGGATACTAAGGGTAAGTACGCTAATCAAAGTGGTCGTAACTTTATAGCTTATTTATGACTAGCGACTCGCCCCTTGAAAGCCTTCCTCTTGAATCACTCTACCTAGTAAAAACCGCATCAAGAACCGTTGCCTAGTTTTAAAGATCTACATAGGGACAGACAGACAGCGGGAGGACTTTATTTTATACTATGGGGTGAAAACTGAGAGTAAGCACTTTATAAAGACAATGTTCATAAATAGTACACGTCGCGTTTCCTATTTTTTTAAGAGTAACTCCACGCAGCAGCCTCGTCTATTACACGAATGGGCAGGCCCATCCGGGTAAGTACCACGACCTCACAGAAGATCAGCGTAAAGTGGAAGTATGACAAATACTTTCGCGTTTCGTCTGGTGAGTGAAGTAGCCGGAGCCCAATTTACAAAAGGTTGTCAACGCATATGTAACCCTCGGGTGTAGCAGATGTCCATGGGCGGCGGTATTCACTTACCATCAGGTGAAGCGTCTGCTCGTTAGGCAAGTTTGCACAAAAAAAATTGGATCTTTTATTTATCAAAAGATGTACTGAAACTTTAAAATAACGAAAGCTTATTTATCCAAAAACAAAGCCTTGGGAACAGAGTTCTACCTTACGATGGTATAATAAATATATCTATGTCTTTGTATTACTCAGTGGATTGAACTAAAATTCTGGGACACGGTATTTAGTCGATATTATTTTCGATATTAAATCCTTTTTTTTTTAACATTCATTATGATTCATTAGGAGTAGTATTAGTACATCTGTCTATTAGTGTTAAACCAAACTGTGTTACTTTTAATAAAAGAAGATAAATTTGCGACTCATAAATGGTTCAAACTGCGACACATTTTATCTACGTTAAATGGATAAATAAAAAAATGTATCTATATTCACTCTCACGTTTTAGCGAAGGATTAAATAAAAGTAATCCCTTGCACTATGAAACCATTAAAGCGGATTTCGAATGAGAATACGCTTAGAACAAAATCAATGCGATCCATAAATGGACCCGGATCTACGTTCAATTCATGAACCATGGAATACCTGTTATAATTTAAAAGGCACGCAAACAGATTATGTTGTAAATGATATATAGATTTTATTATAAAATTAATTGATCTATGACAATAATACACAGTTGATTTTATTGAATGACGACGAGCCGTGATAGCTCAGTGTCCGGGCGCTCGCCTTTAATTCAATATACTCGAGCAACCTGAGTTCGATCCCCGGTGCCGGCACCAATGAAGTTTTTAACTTTAAGTGCTGACTTATCACGTGCTCCGCGATGAAGGAAAACATCGTGAGGAAACCTGGATATTTTCGAAATAATAACAAAAAAATATATATTTCGAAGATATGTGAAGTCCGCCAACCCGCAGTTGGGCCGCGTGGTGGACTATGCCCTGATACCCTCTCTATAGAGGAGGCCTTTGCCCAGCAGTGGGACATGTATAGGCTGTTACTTTACTTTACTTTTTTATTGAATGAAATTCAGTAACGACATATCTATAAAATATTTTAACTTTCTTGAAGGATCTATGACATGCCGTTTTTTATTAAAGAAATCTATAGAGAATCCATTAAATAACACAAAAAAATAGTAAATAAGAAGTTAATTTCCTAAAATGCGCTACATTTTCACAAGTTTAGGATAAAGCAAATTCAAGAATTTGCTTTGTTATTTAGTTCTTTGTTAGAAATAGTTAACAAAGACTTAATTCTTTTTTTATTTCATAGTGCTTTATAACTTTAACCTAAAAGTAGTCGATACTCAACATGACAAGCATCTAGTTTCCAGGAAATTGACACGTGATTTGACTTTATAATGACAATCCGAACTAATCATGAATCATGGAGTGTTAATAAATTGGAGTATTGTAGGTTAATTATGTTACGAAATTGCTCATAAATTGAAGGGAACTGTATGCAGGTATGGTATGTAAAGAAGGATCAGTAACTTCTTACGTATAAAAGTGGGTGCAACTCGACTCAAATTGCCTATATGCTGACCAGATAAGTCCACTTTGGCAAGGTGGCACCGACCCAACATCGTCTACTTTTCATCGACTATTTCTTTACTCCGATGAAGAAAGCAGAAAAATAATTGGTGGTTGCTGAACGGACCAATGCAAAAGGACTTCCCGGCAGAGGTTGAAATTCATAAGTTTGAATAACACCGAAACCGCGCAGGAGGCTTGGGATAGAATCAAGACGGCAATTATCGCGGCGGGGCGCGAATCCTCAGTGTTTCTATGAGAAATAGCGTCATTGACAAGGAGACGTGGTGGTGGATTGACAAGGTGCAGGGAGTAATTCGGAAAAAGAAGGCAGCGTTTGGAGTGGTAACAAATCTACCAGCAACGACGATGCCAGCAAAAGAGCTGTAGCCAGAGCCCCCAGCAAAAGCTTATAACCAATGTGAGATAAGCTAGAAACTGCGGTGGGGCAAAAGCTCATATAGAAACTGGCACGTGCCCGGAATAAAGCGACGCAGGATATACCAAATATCTGGCGAGGGATTCCAAGAGCATGCTGCTATGCGACCATGCCTTTGTGAAGGATAGATAACAAAGCTACTTACAGGAGTTGCTGAACAATCACCACCCCCACAGTCTTGAAACACCCCCTAACCTTGGACCTAGAGGAATCTCGCTCGTAGAACTAGGTGTAATCTCGGCTCACATACAAGACTAGCCTCCACAACTGATGAATGATGATAGCCGGCGGTAACTGGAACAAAAAGTTAATCTCTGGAAGGGTACATTTGAGAACGGGGGTCTTTTTTAATGTGTTAAAGTGACAAACGAGCTCGCGGTTCACTTGATGTTAAGTGATAACCGCCGCCCATAGACATTTGCAACACCCCTAGGGTGGTCTTAAACTCAATGTGGCGAAGACCGAGCATATGGCTTGCGCCTGTTTGGACTCTAGCACGATCCAAATAGGTCCTGAACCAGCCGTTAATTCTTTTAGCTACCTGCGATCTGTTTTTCACGAGGCCGAAATTATCGACTATGATACCCGCTGCTAGGGCTAAGTGGCAAGAATGTATAGGTGTGCCTTGATATGGCTGTCCCAGGAGCTGGACCGCCTGGATGCTCAAGGAAGCGATGGCTGGACGTCGTGAAGCAGGCCATGAAAGCCAATGACCTGACCCCTGAGAATGTAATTAGCAGGTAGAAGAAAACAAAGACCGATTCTATATATAATATCTCCAATGGAATCACATGTTTTTTAATTTGAGAATGAATTATTTATTTAGACTGGTCTCTCAATTTCTCTTTATTTAGACAAATCTCTGAATTTTTTCAGACAATTGCTAAATTCAACTTTCACAGGATTTTCAGGTTCCACGCTGTAAGTGATTTTCGTGATAGTCAAAATCTTTATCACGACTATAACACACAGAAGTTTTGATTTTACTCGATAGCTCACATGCACGTAACAATAAGATGCATCATTTTTTATAGTGGAAATATGTGAGAAAATATATTTTTAACACCTGGTATATTATCCAACTTCTTAAATAATGAAATTGTAGGGGCTTTCTGTCATTTAAAAAAGAGAAACTGCTGGTTACGAGTATACAGTGGCCGATAGTTTTTAAAGTGAATATTTTTCAAATTAATTCCCTGAAACGTTATCTAGAATCTGAATTATATGCTCAGAGAAGGATCAACGGGTTAAAAAGAAATGTAGGCTTTAAAAAAAATCTGAATATGAATAATGTCTTCATTGGAATTAAAAGGTTAAGCTCATCGAGGTCTCTAAAATGCGGATAGTTTATTTTTATATTGTTTTTATTTTTATTTTATAGTGACCCGTGAAAAATTTAATCTAGTACTGATGTTGTTAGTTGAATTTACGATAGCACCAATGATATTATACCAATACGAGGTAGATATGATATTAGCGCACTGAAACTGAGTTACTCAAATTACGCCAATTGGTGTAATTAGATTGTAATTCTGCTATCTTTTTCCGTATGATACGTTCTAAATCATCTGTTACAGTCACTTATACGAGTATATGTCAAATAAACGAACGCCGCAGTTGTGACGATGAATCAAACAGCTCAATAAGGATTTCGGGTCTGGAAAAGGAAAGCTCACATTCCTATAATCAAAATATTCGCCAGGTGATTTAGGGTTTCCGTGAAACTTGAAGTTCCTTGATTCTCTATTTCGAAACTGTTATAAAATATGTTTATACCTTACTAGAACCTATAGTAAAGGTGCCCATAAAATTTTTTTTTAAAATTATTGTTTTTTTGCAAAAAGGGGAAAATACTTTGCCCAGATTCTTTTAGAATAATTTATACATCATCAACTATTATTTTTTACTGATAAGTCTTCCTGATTTCGGTTCTTATAACCGCAAGAGCCTTTTGTAACTCTTGTAACTTTTTTTTAAATTTTAGCCCTAGCTGAAAAGTTGAGAGACAAAACATCTGTGGCATGATCGATTATGACATACCTCTCGTATATTCTTTTTGAGAGTTGTAAGTTCAACTTGTGAGAATTAATTTTTAATATTTTCTGGCGAAAAAATCGCGAGGAAACCTGCATTTTTACGAAATAACAACAATAAAATTTTTCGAAAATATGTGAAGTCAGCCATTCCGCAGTGTTGTACAGAGGAGGCCTTTTCCCAGCTGTGGGACATTAATTATAGGCTGTTACTTTTCTTTTTTTACTTTACGCGTTGTGTAATTTAAAATCTGTTGATATGATGAATGATGCATTACTTATTCAAATCAATTGATAAAATGAAATTGGAAAAACAAAACACTTGTCAATACACGTTAATGAAAAAATAAATTAATTAACGTGTATTGACACACGTTAATGAATTTTGTCCATGTGTTCTCTAGGTCCCAAAACCTACTTCCGTCATTACTACCTCTAAATAAAGCAGATACAGCTTTGTTATAATTAATATTAAAATTTATAGCATACACGTGTAACCTCGTGTTCGTTGTAAACTGCAGATGTAAAAGATTGCAATATTCAGGAACACGTGTAGCGTATGTGATAGTCTCCACTGAAAATAAAACGTGCTTTATAGGAGTTTTGAAACTATGGACTCTTGCATAGTTTATTTTGAAAACCGTCATGCCTCCGAAAATTTATAATCACAAGTGTATAAGGAATATTGTTAGCTTCGACTGGTGGCAGTTTTTTAGATTTCATTTTATTTTATAAGAACAATGTACGGTATCGAAATTTCGAAAGGGAATACTATGTTACTGGCAGTTTTATTATAAATGTGACTTGGTTGATTCGGGGGCACAACGGTTGTGGGTTCGATTCCTACACGGGATAATCACTTGTGTAAGCTCACAGATAACGGTTCCGTATCTAAGCGTTTATACCCAAAGAGACGTGATGTCAGTTAGGCGGTTGGTCATAAAAACCTTACCATTAACAACATGATCCAACACTACCCAGTCGGGCTTCAAATGAAGTACTATTCTTTCTCCTGTCCCGATCAACTATTCCGCCTAACGGAACATATCCTAAAAGGCCTAAATCACCCTAAACATATTAGTACAGGGGCTCTTTTCTTCGATGTCGCAAAAGCATTCGACAAGGTCTGGCACAACGGCTTGCTTTACAAGCTGTACACACTCAAAGTGCCAGATAGGCTCGTACACACCATCCAGGCCTTCCTGTCGAACCGCTCTTTTCGATATCGAGTTGAAAGCACCCTCTCCACAAGCCGCCGCCTCACCGCCGGCGTACCACAAGGCTCCTGCCTCTCACCTTTGCTCTTTACGCTCTACACGAGCGATATACCTAAAGACCCCCACGTCAATCTCGCGCTTTTCGCGGATGACACGGCGCTCTTTTATTCAGACCGCAACCTTAGACAACTAACCACTCGACTCCAAAGCGCTGCCGACCGCCTCGGCGATTGGTTCCGCAAATGGAGAATAGAAATAAATCCCGAAAAGAGTGTGGCGATTCACTTCACACGAAGTACTTACCCGTCACATCTTTATAATGGCCCTCGTCAATGCAGAAAGTTGGGGCAAATATCCCTTTATGGCCAACCGCTCCCCTGGGAGAAAAAGGTCAAATACTTAGGAGTCACTTTCGACTCGCGTATGTCATTTACTACGCACATTAATAACGTTCGCAATAGAGCCGCGTTCGTCTCCGGCCGGCTACACAACTTAACTAACGCTAAAAAGTAAAATGCCCTTAAGGCACAAATTATTATTATATAAGACCTGCGTACGACCTATTATGTCTTACGCATGCATGACCTTCGCCCACACGCACCCTACTCGCTTGTACAAGTTGCAAATAGTACAAAATAAGTTCATCCGCCGCGCAACCGGTGCGCAGTGGTATCAACGCAACGTCGACCTGCACAGCGATTGCAGACTCCCGACGATTCGCGAATATTTTAAAGACCTGACCAAACGGTTCTTTGATAGAGCCGAACATCATCCCAACCCTCTGGTGGTAAGCGCAGCAAATTACCAACCCGACAAAAACGCGAACGTCAACAAGCGTCGCCCGCGAAACGTCCTAATCGACCCGGTCGAGGAAGGAGACTTAGACACGCCGGACCCACTGCCGGGGGTCCCGCCGGACAACACTACACCCACAGTTAGTGCAACAACAAACACACTAGTTCGCCCTCGCCTCCGAGCACGGCGAGACCAACACAACGCGTATACAAGGTACACCCGCGTTCCGGGGCGGTTCTCACCGCCCCCAGCCACCGATTAGCTAATTGCACAGTCGACGGCCATCGGGGTTTCGGTCCGAACCACGACCTCGATGGCCCTTAGATGACACACCATAGTTAAACGCACGCATGAGCACATGCGTGGCCCTACCCACAGCGGAGGGCCCAAACCTGTGGGTTCTGGCTAGCCCATCGGTTCTGCGTCAGATGAAGCTTTAATAGTCTCGGGACTGAAAGCAAAAACATCAGTTAATACAAGATACAAGAAGACTATTCTTTCGCATTTCAAATGGTGAGTAGGACAACCGGGCCCCACATTATTTTTACTTAGGCAACGCATCTGCAACCCATAAAGCGTTGTTGATGTCTATGGACGGCGGTAATCACTTAACATCAAGTGAACCACTCACTTGTTTGTTTTTAACATAATAATAAATATTTATATGGGTAAATAGAAATGCTAATATAAGTAGGTGGTTGTTTCTTAGAACTTAAATGAAACGTGTGCTACGTGGTGCCGGTTTGACACTAAATTTAGAAAGCGGATTTAGATAGCGGCGAGCCTGTTAACACGAGTAATGGAATAATGCTGTATTCTGATTAGGTGATAAGCAAAAGCACTCGAACATACTCGAAACGTTGCGTTTTTCCAAAGCCCCACCGGCAACGCTGTAACCGACCATGGACTTGACTTAACGCTGTTTGTGTTAATTATAAAATATGTTCCGACGCTCCAATACAATATCCAGCATACCCGTCACGACGGCGAAATTGAATTAGGTAAGTTTACTCTTAAAATTTAATGAGAGTCAACCGGAGCATCTGAAATACGTAAATAATAAAATTATTCAACTCATTTCTAGTCGTAGCATAATATAAAGGTCTTCATATAAGTATATATTTAGAGTAAATTAAAGTATTTTGTATTCATCTTTTATAGTTTTTTGTATTCAATTAACAGGTTAACAACTATTTTGGGCAAAGTCATTGATTACTGATTTATGATTACTAATTAATTATAATTAATAACTGAGTAATAAAGAATGGGCTGGAAAATTTGTAAAATTATGAGGTGTATACCGAGTTACTTATATCTCTGTAAATGTAACATTTTGACATCTTGCAGAGTTCGGGAAATATAAAAATATAATATCATTTGTAACAATTAAATAACGATTATCTTTTCATTTTGATTTTTTATTCAATTCAAGGGGAAGTCAAAAGAAGTTCAAGCCAAGGGCTTTTTTAAAGGTTTTATAAGGGTTACGTTAACCTATAATACAGCCAGATAATCAAAATTGATTACGCTGAAAGTATCCTTAAAAAGTAAATTATTACTTAGCAATAACTTGTTAATTTATTACCTATCAGTTTTATAAGTATTCATTGAACATTTACAGGATATAATTTAACACGCACACCAAGAACTTGAATAAAATTATGCAAGTTTTGAATTACAACTTTCAAAAGTGCAGTCTTATTAACAGTCGCTTAAAACGGAAATTCGCACATGATCAAATTTATACAAAGTGCTTATAGCTGTTTTGGACTGCGACCGTACTAAACAGAAAATAATTATTAAAGGAAATTACCTACAACGATAATTGAATTTACTTTAAAATAAATTGGTTTATAAAATTAACGGTATGTACAGCAAAACCTGCTGCTATGAATTCCAAAGTTGTACTGTATACGTTTAAACGCGTAGGAAATTTCATATGTAATGTGTCAAAAATGAGTGTTATTTTTAAGTTCAATTGAAATGAACAATTATTCAGTGTGAGACGTCGTCGCGATCATTCTAGACCTACCCCACTGGATTAGAGTGGGCTGCTCGCTGAAGTATAAATTGTCCCGAAGTATCCTTTAAGAGACGACTTGTTGCCGCGGCAGTGGGAGACACGCACTCGTCTGAGGAACTCGCCTCAGTTTGATCCTTCGCGATTGTATATATCTTACATAGAACTAGTCATGTTAGTTTAACAGAAGACCTTACTAATTACAATGTTGTTAAACGTTTATATTTTGCATTTCAAAATGTTTCTATTCAAAATTAGTAAAATTTTATACAAGATTTAGATTCAACGATACAAATACGCGAGCATTAATTGAACCAGCCCCGAAATAAACATCCCTGCTCCAAGATGTTCAGGCGTGCACGCAGAGATACTACTGTCGAGTTACTCCAAGTAAGTAACTGATTTTCAAATTAAGTTTTATTCTTTTAAGGTAAATAAGTAAATACGTAATGTACTCAATAAGTTGAAAACTCCACTATACAATTTTTTGCGAATATCTGAAGTGCGCGAGCGCAATTCAAAGGGTTAATATTAATATTTTTTAACGGCTAAAGCTAATTAGACTATAGTGGGACAACTAAATTCTGTAATGGCCTTTTTCCTACATTTGTCTTAAAGTGATTCATAAGTTTTTAAGCTCCTTGTAAAGAAAGTGCATTTAACATTTTTACAAACAAAAGACAAACCGATTTCAAAAATCTCAATGAAATTAAAATAGGACCCATTGAAGATATATCCTTTTTAAACAAAATATAAACTTTTACAATCAGTTAATAAATTACGGAGCTATGAGGTACATAGAAATGAAAAGAGATGAGATGAAAGAGAAAAGAAATGAAATGAAAAAATTCATTTGGTTGCTACATAAATACTGCAATACCATACCTATCCAACGAAACACAAACTTTTGGGAAAAAATTTTAATAAGCTTCCCCGAAATTTTTACGACAACTGAAAGTCCTTTATCTATTATAGAAAATATGAACTCAAGCGTATAACTATTATGAGTTACCTGTATGTCTAATTCTTTATTTTATTTTAAAGTATATTTTTTTTTTATTTTGTCCGATATGTTCCTGGACATATTTCCGGAAAGAATAATTGGTGTAATCATATTAGAAAATTGAAAAGCTTGGACAAACTGGAAAAAATCATAGTTTTTGTGGGTACATAATATTTATCATCATAACTGCGATATGAAGGACACCATCATTTCAGCCTGTAAGCGTCCACTGCTGAACATAGGCCTCCTCTAGGGATTTCCACTTTGATCGGTTTGAAGCGGCCTGCATCCAGGAAGTCCCGCGACTTTGGACAGATCGTCATTCCATCTCGCAGGTGGAAGGAACTCAGTATGAAGGACATATTGAGTTGATTATATTTTTATTTTGTTTGTGCTCCCGAAATTGACAGCAAATGTATCAATCAACCACTTACTTCACACATTTCCAGAACTTCAGACATTTTTTATGGAACTAACACGCATGACTTGTATTTTGTACTAGCTGACCCGACAGACGTTGTCCTGTCTTAACGATGACTATTTAATTCGAATTGGTATAATTAATAAAAAAAAGTTTGTTTATTATTCTAATGCTTTAAGATATACAATATTCTTGTTTTTTTTTTTTCTTGCGCGTATATAAATAGTTTTGTTCACGGGAACAGGCGACATATAACAGGCCATGTGAAAAACATGGAAACAATATCTGAAAGAAGTAAAATTAGAAATAATATTATATTATGGTTGTTAAGTATTCTTAAATAAGTATTCTTAAATTTACTAATTTTTCGCGCAATTTTTTAATTTTTTTCTTTCGTAAGAACCTTCTCGTGATAACAATAAACACAAAAAAAAATGAAATCGGTCCAGCCGTTCACCCGTGATGGTGTGACCAAGGGAAATAGGGATTCATTTATATATATATATAGATTGACGTACTTCTGATTATAATAGGCAAAACTATAACCGAGGTTTAAACACATTTCCTATAACTTTTAAAAAACGATTAAATACAATGTGTATTAAAGTTTTGACAGGACATCGCCTGGGTAGTCATTAGTACTCATGTAAAATGGATTCGTTTTTTAAATAGTACTGCATTATTAACAGTTTAATGGATTAAAATACGATAATTCGTTTTATCTTTTTTATCTTAACCGTTTAACTGTATAACTCATTATCACTCGGGCACCTTTTGTTGTTTCGAACCCGCATTTCCAAATGAATCGAATTTTTGTTAACCTTACTCTTAAACGTCCGAATGAAAAATATTTTATAAAATGAAACTAAAAAAAATTGATTGAAATTAAATGACAATAAGTTCAAACAATTATTTGATTTTCTCAAATATTACAATTTAGAAAATCAAATAAATTTTAGATACAATAAATGGATAACAAGAGAAATTAACAGAGAAGTCTTCTAAGGTATTAATAAATTTTATTAAAATTGGTAACAACCACACCGGATTTTCCGTAATAAGGTGCGATAATTTTCTCAATGGTGCTCCGTGTTTTCTTATTACAAGCCAAATAAAGACTTCTTGTAATTTGTATCTTAAATTTCTTCAGACCAAGAAAAAATCAACTGTGGCACTCGGGTACTGCCGCGGTAAAGCTATTGCATAGCATCTTTTATCAACTTATGCAATTATAATTTAATAATGTAATTATTAATATATATTATTATTAATTATATATAATTTATTTATATTATTTAAAAAATGAACTACTAAGTCAATCATTAAGCTGTTTGGATAGTTAAATTACAATATACTAACATTTTTAAACTTGTGATATCTTTCGAATGAAATATCCAAATTTAATAATTCACAAAGTTTTATAAAGATATTGAAATAGTCTTAAATATAAATAATTTGTTTTTATAAGGATTAATACCAAGATACAAATAAAGAGCCTTTTCTAAGGGCGGCATTTCAATCAATATTTTAAAATAAAAGAACATTAATTGTGGCATAACTATAATAGTTAGACATATGCTGTCGCGACACTTTTTGTAAATAATAATGTGTTCTGCAAATACGTAATACATTGTTTTATTCTATCATCAACACCTTTCAATTTTTGTATACTTTGGTTTACATTATTGAAGTTTTAGTAAGGATCCCTACTTTTTTGAAAATATAATATAATATAGCCTATGTCATCCGGAGATAATGTAGCTTCCCAACAGTTAAAGTAATTTTAAACTTGTTATTTTCACTAAGAAAGTCCGCCATTTTATTAATTTTACTTCAAAAACTAAATATAAAGTTCCGCCAACATGATAAATATAGAAAGCGGGCGACGTCATACTCGTATCAATAGTTCGACTTTTTTTTTAATTTAATCAGTCCCAGAACCAACACAGAGCTGCGACCGGCGAATTCTGCTTGTTGATTAATTCATTTAGTGATTTTTCTTATCGTTTAAAATTTATTTTAATTGTATTACGCTTACGTCAATATTATTTGTATTTACTATAAAAATTAACAAGTAAATCCGCAGATAATAACTAGTTAATTCCCACTTAGATGGATATAGGGATATAGGAACATAATTTCCCACCATCAAAAAATACCAAAAACCTATTACTAATTTTTTTATTCCTTTTTATATAATTTACCCTTCTAAGTAAATACTATCCCGAATCAACTTATTTAAAACAGCTTTCACGATGATATGGCCGTTTAAGGGTGACAAAAAAAAAACCTTTTGTTGCATATCCTTTGTGAGGATAAGGATAAGAAAGTTTACTAAGTTCTCGGAACTTAAAGAAGAAAATCTAGTACCATTTCTTGTCAAATGACCATAGCAAAATTCATTTCCCGGAAAGTTTCAATTCTGTTGAACTTAAAGTGCTTTTCTAACTATGGGGTAGTACGAACTCTACCCCATAGAAAAGCACGTTCATTCACTACGGATATCCGTATCTCTTCTTTTATTCTATTCGATATGGCTCTGGGCTTAACATGTAAATGAAATAACAATAATCATAATGGAAAGTTGTAGTAGATCGAGTAGGTTCCAAAACTTTCTGTAAAGAATTTAAGAAAATGGGTACCACATACATATAACCTTGTCTATTTACATTGTATTGGTTGAAAGTAAGTCAATCGTTATAGTAAATTTTATTTTATTATGTGTAATAAAATATTAAAAATCGACGCAAAACATAAAAATATGATTTACAGTCACTTTTCCTCAAGTAATATAGGTAGAAATCACATTTTATAACCTAAAAAGGAAAAAATTATGAATTTTTATATAATAAATTAACAAGGTATGCAATACAAATTGGTAATGCAAAACCACTTTCGTATAAAAAAAATTGTATCCCAAAAACATAATTTCGCTTCAAATATTAAATAAGAATCGAATCGAACATTATTCCGTTTCATTTCTTAAGTAACTATCGACTCTGTGTAGATTTTAATAACTATTTGTACAACATAGACTTACCTTAGTAAAACATTCCAGAACAAAAGCGTCCAGTAAGGAGATCGCTTACTGGTCTTAACATTGCGCCGTATGAAGTCGCCGCGCTGGGGAGCGATAGTTTGAAACGGCAGTGAGTGACATGAGACCGTCTCGGGTACGCGCCACCCGCATTGCTAACCCGGATCTATCAGCGCCTCAAATCGAGCTGCAATTCTCACCTGAGACTCGAATAATAAATAAATTGAAATATTCCATATAAAAAAGGCATATCATTTAATTCATATAATAAATGTTTGATCCACAAACGGGCCATCCAATACAATGTAATTTGTTATGCATTGTTGGAACAATCCAAAGATTTGTCAAGACAAGGGCTTACGATAATAAAACCTATACAATAGTGGCGCCTTTCAGTATTACGATTTAATTCAAGATGGCACGACCTGAAAACTTGCATGTAACAGATTTTGCAGAGATTTTACAAGTAAGTAATTTAGTGTTAATATTTAATTTTAGTTTGGCACATACAACAACAAAAATTTTAGCTCAAGTAACAAACAAACAATTGTTTGTAAGAGGACATTTTATATTTCCCTTTTTCAATATTACTAGTACTACAATATTATCCGTTTGGAATAATCGAATTAACACGGTCAGTCATCAAATGGCTATACATTAACGTGTAAATAAGTATTACCAAGTATCTTATATTTGATAATAACGTACTTCAGCCTACGTATCTTTTATCAAAATAAATTGTTAATATAAATGTATTACTTTGCATTTTTACAGGAAACTTTTAAACAAAACCTTTTTTTTATTAAATCAATAATTTAACTCTGTTTTTAGTCAATAGCAGCAAGCATAAGCTTAAAAATCATGTTTAAATCAGTAAATTTTATGAATAATGATGGAATTTATAACGTACCGCCTTAACATAAAATACA